TACTTTTTTGATTTAATATCCAATATAGTGAATGAGTCATACTAGTTTATGTAAATGAATTAAATGACCAAATGAATGAAATTTTGTAAAAGTTAATAAGTATAAGTCAAGAGAAAATGAGTTTAGAAAGGTAAATTTAATTTTCACTCTTATCGGGGGATCACACTACCACGAATACATTTAGTTTTCTTGATGAAAATATCACCCTTATATTCTGTATTATTTTCATAATGTAGTTAACAAGCAGCTTCATTCTTTACTAACACTAAAAATTACGATTTAAGCTTTAGTTAAGACATGACACAGAGTAACTTTTTGTTCTATGAAACAGAGACATAAACTTGGTTATCTGTATTACACTGACCATGATTAACTCTCAAAACTATAAGCAATTTTACTTTACCTACCTAAGGAAGATCTAAGAACCATTTTACATTAAAAATGTTATTTTACTCTTCTCATAAATAAAACTTTAGCATAATTTACTTATGCTTCATAAAGACACTAGTAGTTAACCTGTGCAGACATTTTGCTAAAAGTCTCAGTGTAAGGGATAAAGTGCTGTAAAGGAATGAATATATTCCATCATAAATAGCTGTTTCAAAACTTCATGTTGTTCAAAGCAGTGTTGACGAGACCTTTTGCAAAAACATCAAGCAAGCTGGGATATGAAAAGACATAGTATTGATCTAGGCATTATTTATATTATCAACTTTCATGAACTATGACTACTATGGTGTGTATTAAATTAAGTTGATTCTAATTATTATCAAGTTTATTTAAGTCATGTACTAATCAGATTTTCAAAGTAAAGATTAATAACACAATATTATATGTTTATTATATATTTAGCATCAATTATTTTAATTTGAATTAACTTCACTATCATTCAGAAGAACTGGTAAACCAGTAAGCTAGTGTTCTTGTTCCCAGAGGGGGGTCAAGCAACCATAGCATCTATAAGATAAAACAATATTAATCATTCTAAGAACTTATAAGTGAAAACAAAACATAATCTGTTATAATATTTCAACATCAACTACATTAAATCTGCCACATCCAGTGTTAATGGACCTTTTCATCCAGTACCAAAGCTCATTAGGCCAGCTGGAATATGACAAACATAGAAGTGGTTTAGGCTTTAGTTATATCATCATCTTTATGAACAACAACTATTAGATTGTGAACTAGGTTAATAAATGTAAGACTTTTTAAAATATTTCTTACCTTTACAACACTAAAACACTTACAGATTTAACATTAAATGAGCATTCATCATACTGCTTATTCAATCTCAATTTAAGTCTATTGATCAATATTTTCCTTTATACACAATTAATGTTATATTTTGCTTTTGAGAGGATTTTAGTATTCCTTTTCATAGCAACCAATTTTCAATCACTCGTTTAGCTAAGAATTAAAGAAACTTTACTGAGACTTTAAGACCAGAGCTGAATTTAAACCAGACTTCATACTATTTTAAAAACCTTAATGAGTTTTAATGAATTTATTAAAATGCATAAAATGAAAACATGAAACACAAGTTCTTAAATTCTCTGAAAAATTTTGAGAAAACTTCAAACTGAACTTCAAACAGACGAGTTCACCTTGAAACTAAAACTAATTCCTCCTTTTCATTTTTATTTAAAAAATTGACAAATTTTACTATGCCTTCTTTGTGAATTTTTTATTATAAAAATTGTGTGGTTGTGTTTCACAAAAATCTTGAGATATTATTTATACTCTCATATAAAATGATGCAGGCCAGGAAATTCATAATCTTCAGGGCAAGACCTTAAATTTTCTCTCATCTTCAAGGACACCAAGGCCAAAAAAAATTCACATTAATTTTAATGGAATATAAAGGAGTTATCCAATTAGTTTAGTAAATATGGAATTAATTATTTTCATTGGGGGCTTGGGAAGCTGGCCTACCCTTCCATATCATGTTTATCACATAGGTAAGTTTTAACTTTAACCAATGAGACTTATGAAGTAACAGTACGTCAACATTAAGATTAGTAAAAAAAGGTATCATGCTGATATAAAATGCCCTATGACCTTGATAAGATTCCTAGTTTTTGGTCCCTCCTGACACCAAATGACATTTGACCTGAAAATCTTATCCAACTTTTATGCACCTCTCTTAACTTGCTAACTTTGAGAAGGATCAAACAAAATTCCTGGGAGGCAAAGCATTTTAAAGGTTTCTAGGATTTGACCTTAATTATCATGAACAAATTTCAGGCATCTCTACACACTTATTAATATATCCAGCTTTGATAAAGACCAGACTTATACATAAAGAGAACTAGCACTTTATAAGATTTCTAGCTTTTGCTTCCTCCTGACCTCAAAGGACCTTTGACCTAAAAATTGTATTGAATTTTTATGCACCTCTATCCATTTATTACTTTTTCTAACTTTCATAATGATCAGACAAAATCCCTGGGAGGAGAGGTTTAAGGGCCTAATTTTTACCAACAAAATTCAACCCCAACATGTCTGACTACTTGACCAAGATTGATAAAAATCAGTTACACGGTCCCCAAACAGCAGCCCTTTGGAAATCTTGATGGACAGACAGACAGATAGAAAGTCACATTGCCATGACATAAGGTCAACATTATATTTCCAAACAATACTACTACTAGTATTTTTTCACATAATTTGTAATGTAGTCTAGTGCCAATACACAGTAAACTAGGCCTACACTACTGTACAGCACATGATCATAACCTATAAATCACACACTGCATTGCTCAACGTGCTACTTGTAATTCAGTAATGTTAACCCTAGCTAGCTAATGTAGTAGGCCTAAGCCTTTGGTGGATTTTCACATAAAATTTATCAAGCCGATTAACTGACATATCCTTCATTTTCTAAACAAGAGAGAATTCTCAATAGCCACAGCAGTTGAAATTCTTTTTGGCAGGATTAGAGTAAATTAATCTAGGAGACATTTTTTTCCTTTTTATTAACTATATTTTTGTGCACCAGCAATATCAAGCATGGGGCATGTGTATACCTGATTCGATTTTATTACTCATCAAGATCTCTAGTAGCGTACCCTCAAATTTAAATTCTTTCAGGCAGGATTACAGTAAATTAATCTACAAGACCTTGGGCATGGTTAAATGCATCACTTAAAAGGGTTTGACCTCCAGAGGCATCAACTGTAATTAGATCTCAAATCAGTCAAGAGATAATGGAGCTACGAGGTAAAAGTTTGTACTTGTAAAAAATCTCACAGCCATCATATGAGCCTCTATGTTGTGGCTAAAAAATCCAGATGTAATCTACATATTTCCCAATGAAAAAAAAAATTCCAATATCTGGCACTTGGCCACTACAGAAACAAAAGCATTCTCCCACTTAACTCGTTCCTCTTTTGGCATGTTTAATGCAAGGAGTATTTGCAGTTCCACACTTCACTTTGACCAGCATATGTATGTGCTGACTTTGATCATCACATACTGCTGACCCTGTGGATCTTTGTATAAGCTCTGCAGGTTTGTTGTTTGAGAGCTGATTTGAGTTGCTTGCTACTACTAAGAGCCTGCAACACACTGCCAACCAAAGTGAATATTTCACTTCCTCAACTACATGCATTTTATGTGATATATTTTTCTTAACAAGGTAGCATCTGTAAGTTGTAAGCCCAGTGTTTGTGATCCTCAATGGTTTCCCCTTTATTTAGATCGAAAGACTGCATAATCTCCATGCCTGAAACTTGAGCTTCTGGATACCAAGAGATGATCATCATGGCTGTGGATTTTTGTGATTTTCTGAAGGCACCATGGCCATTTTGAAAATTACAGCAGCAATTGCCACCATAGCTGCCATGAACTTTTTACCCTGATGGTTAGAATAAAAAATACTAAAGGTTAACAATGTTCTGCACTGTTCAATAATAGTTCTGTCATTACAGTTACATTATATTTTCACACTCTTTGATTTTCAAAGGAGCATAATAATAGCTACAATCCCACACTGACTTGATGGAGGAACTGGTGTAACATTAGCTAAATGAGCTCTCTTCAGAAAGAAAACACCCAAAGGAGGAATGGGGTGAGTGAATAGAATGTAAAACACACCAGTGGGAGATTGCACCACTTCTGAGCCAGATATACTCTTCCTCTTAAAAAGTATGTGTTGCAATAAGGACAGAATCACAGAAGGAACCTTATAAATTAAATGAAGGGACTCCTGGTGTTGAGTGGCTAGGGCATGGCAGACCGTAAGGGAAGTTCAATCTCAACCAACACCAATAGTACCATGATAGGAAGAGAGTCCTCTATCGTTTACCTCGGACACAGGGATTGGAAGGAAGAAGATATTACGTTCCAAGAACCTGCATTATCATGTGTGCATGTCAAACACAACCAACATCAGTACCCCTGGGAAATGACATCCAGACAATGGTAGGAAGGTGGACAGCAATGTAGCAGTTCAACTTCAGTCCAGAACCAGGTGGCACTGAGAATTAATAGTCCATTCCATGGTAGGAGGATGGTACCTGGGTCATTCACATGCAAGGACAGAAGTTAACATTTTCCTAAATTGAAAATGTACTTCCAATAACACTTACCTCCTCTCACACTTATAGCTACTACTGGACTGCCAGGGTTTCTTCCCTTACCCATCTAAACATTGGTATATTTTATACTCCACTTAATTGCTCTTGGCAAGATTTGTCTCACTCTCCACCTATATCAAAGCACCCTCCATCCTAGTACTATATATAAGCACCTCATTCAGATAATGTTATCACTTTTTTTGAGACAGACTCCATCCCAGTCTCTAACACCAGCTCTTAATGGGGAGGAAGGGCGGGAGAGTGTAAGTGGGGGTAAGTATTATTGGAAATACATTTTCAATTTAGGAAAACGTTAACTTCAATTACATACATACCTCCACACTCACTGAGAAGGTGGAAGGGCC